ACATCCCTAGCCCCGCCATGATGACGCTCCCTATTTGCTCGCCTGGAATCTAGAGAAGAATGTTGGAATCAAACCTTGGCTATTGCTGGTTTATATTGGCACTGTTAAACGTGTCTTCCCCTCTTTCCTGTGCTCTACCCCGCACCACATCGGCCATATTTCTTCGAGATGTAGTCTCCTTCAGCTCACGGCACACTCTCAGTACTCGACCTGATAACGACGCCGGAATAGAGTACTACAAAGGTGCCACAATATATTCGTTTCGAAATGCCCGTTGATGTAGCTTCTCAGACTGCCGATGCCAGCATCGCCAGCAGTCAACCTGGTGTGAGTTTCCCATATCGGAGCATCTCCGAGATATCCCCATCACGTCTATATCCTGACATGAACGTAGCTAACAAGCAGAAAGCTCGACAATGGACCGACAATGAGAGCCCTGGTTTATACAGGACCCAGCAAGCTCGAAGTCTTGGATCGGCCAAGGCCAGTCATACAATCTCCCACAGATGCAATTGTCAAGATGCTCCACAGCACAATCTGCGGCACAGACCTACACATCCTGAAAGGCGACGTGCCAGCAATTCCATACGATCGAGTCCTGGGCCATGAAGGCGTGGGTACAGTTGTATCCGTTGGATCTGCGATCAATGACCTTTCGGTCGGCGACAATGTCGTAATTGCCGCTATCACAGCGTGTAAAGTTTGTACATCTTGTCGCAAGGGACTGGAAGCACATTGTGTAACTGGCGGCTGGCAACTGGGAAATAAGATCGATGGAACCCAGGCAGAATACGTGCGCATTCCACACGCAACGTCTTCCTTGTACAAGATTCCCGATGGCCTTGACCTTAGGGCCTGTGCTGCTATCTCAGATGCACTGCCGACAGGACTGGAATGCGGAACAGTGAGCGCTCATGTGCAACCGGGCAGTACTGTTGCGATTATCGGTGCTGGTCCTGTGGGTCTGGCTGCTATGCTCACTGCTAGATTATACACGCCTTCTCGGATCGTTATGATCGACTTGGACAATACCAGGTTGGAACATGCGAAGAGACTCGGCGCTGATCATGCCGTTAACTCAGGAAACCCGGATGCGATGGATACACTGAACACACTCACAGAAGGGCAAGGCTTTGACTGTGTTATTGAAGCCGTCGGGATCCCGAAGACCTTCGAAATGTGTCAGAAATTAGTCGCACCAGGGGGTTCCATTGCTAATGTTGGTGTTCATGGGCACCCTGTCAATTTGGATATGCACAAACTTTGGGATCGCAATATCAGTGAGTCTTTGTTTCCAGATTATAATCTGTCGTGATGTTATCTAGGAGACTGGCCCTCCAGATATGGAGTACCAACTAACTGTACGCTCTGCAGGCATCAAGATGCAGTTGCTGAACGGTGTCAGTATCCCAACCCTCCTGCGACTGTATCAATCTGGCCATATAAAACCTTCTAGCCTATTTACTCATCGTAAGTGGTATATCCTAAGTTCTCACATATGATCAGGATTTGCTCTCTTCTAACTAAACCTGGATATAGACTATCCCTTTTCGGAGGTCCACAAGGCATATCACAGCTTCCAAATGGCATCTCAGGAAGGTGCTTTGAAGGTTGCGATTGACTTCTAGCTCCGTTTCAGGTTTTGCCGTTGATGGAGAGTGTGGCCATGACCAGCTTGACTCAATGACGTTTGATAAGCTATCCTTTGGTCCGTGCACGTGATACATGCCTCGGTTTCTATTCCCCAACGTTTCAACAAGCTGAGTCGTAGCTGAAATGTGTACTCCGTAATCGTGGACTTTAAAGTGCTTTAAACCCGTGAGCTGGCTAGTTGCACGAGTTGGACTTGGATTTTGTCGCGGGGACGCTTGTACCACTGCACCGGAACGAATCCTCGGCCTTAGTGATCGATTTATACCCACCCCTGCTCTCCTTTTTTTTTCTATACATCCCGGCATCACATATACAAAGGTTCAAAGACAAAAAAGCAAACACAAAAATAAAAATAAAAAATAAAAAAAAAGAACAAAAACAAGCTCCAATCCAACATGGGCCTGCCAGTGTCCCTTCGCGCAGATACAATCCGCGACCTCTTGCCAGGAGTCTCCTCAATCATGACCTGGAAAACCATAGCACTACTCCTGGCCATCATCAACCTGAAGAACCTCCCATTTGTCTGGCACGTAAGTACATACATACATACATCCTCAAACCAACACCAATACACCCAAATCCCCACCCCCCACAAAACCCCCCCTGAGTCCAAACAGACCCAAAACTAATCCCCGCCGCAGCTCCGCATCTTCCACCACCTGTGGTGGAACGTCCGGCGCAAGCCCGGAGACCCCCATTTCCCACGGGGCAAAGCACTGGTCACACACACGGGCAAGCCCACCCACCCGGTGTTCGTGCCGTACTCCGTCACATCACGCACCCCGATTCTGGAAACGGACTACAACTTCCACAAGTCCAACAGCACGTATTTCTCGGATCTGGACATCTCGCGGACCGCGCTCGTCACGCGACTGTACACGCCGGGGATCCGCACCGTGAGCAAGGAGCTCGATGTCGAGCTCGGCGAGGCTGCGCGCCGCGAGGGGAAGAAGCCGCCCGCGCACAAGAACATGTATGTGGCGCTGGGGTCGGTGTTTTGTTCTTTCAAGAGGGAGATTAAGCCGTTCGAGCTCTATGAGATCGAGACCAAGGTCATTGCCTGGGATCGGAAGTGGATGTATGTGTTGAGTTTCTTCCTTAGGCCGGCGAAAGCCGGCGGGAAGAGGTTGCTTTTTGCTACCGCCGTTAGTAAGTATGTTGTTAAGAAGGGCCGGCTTACGGTGCCCCCGGAGAGGGTGCTCAGGGCTAGTGGGTGGTTGCCGGAGCGTCCGGAGGGCGATGTGTTGGTTGCTGATAGCCCGGTGGAGGGCTCGGGTGTGGGGACGCCGGCTGGGGAGGGGATTACAGCTACGGCTGGGGTTGATGGGGCGTTGGTGAGGGAGGTTCTGAAGGTCAGTGAGGATGATATGCCTGAGACGAAGCTGGAGGAGGAGAAGAAGGCAAATGCGGAGTTGTGGAGTGTGGGCGAGTGGACTTGGGAGATGATTGAAGAGGAGAGACAACGGGGGTTGGAGGTGGTGGCAGGCTATATCAATATGGATACGAAGCTACATGACGAATGGGAGCGGTGATGAGTTGTCTTGATATAATGTTTTACGTTCTCATCTTGGGTTCTTAACAATATTGTTATGTTCTGGATAGGTAACTTTTGTATAGATCAGACTGTATAGAACGCTGGCGCTTCAACTTGCAAGCTATATTACAATGGTCCGCATATCAGCCATAGTGATACCCTATAGATATCTCTCCAAGCTCACCTCCTTTCCCGGTACATTAATCGCAGACCAAAACCATCCCAGCTAAAACTTTCACGGATCACAGAGAGACCTACGGAAATCCCAAACAACTACCGAAACAATTAGCCCAAAGCCAAGGGGTTGAAGCGCTTTTCACGCGAAGCCTACTCTTCTGATCCTCCTCCGAGCACTTCCCACTCTTTCCATCATTCCCACCCATACACAGTCCGACTGCCACATGGAAGTCGGGTCTGTCACAGAAACTGGGAATGTCAAGCCCACGGGTAATATTCACTTCATAAATGCAGTCGACCTGGATTCCTCCGTCAGTATCCAAAAACATGATCAGTAGGCATGAGGGAAGCAACGTACCAGACACTGCGGGACGTCCTGTTCTATGTAGGTAGCCACGACGGCAGCCACGAGAGCCGTTAGAGAGACCGCGAGGGAGAGCTTCATTTTGGTATAGTTGCTTGACTTGTCATGCAGTACTTGATGTACGGGTGCACAGCTGATATTTATAGTCTGGGAGGGAGCGCTTTTCTAGTCTTATTTTTGGCTATAGATAGCCCTGGGACATGTTTGGTCCCTGAATCTGTGCCAGGGACGTACCCTCCTAGCGTCTTGTGATACTCGATATGCATCGATAAGGAGACGGCTATAGCGTACCTTGTGGGGTCATTGGAAGGTAGCTGCAATAGTAGATGCAAAAAGTGTGATTTAAGGCTGTATGGATACCATGTATGGGTCACTGTGCGATACCTGTCATATTACCAAGAATCTCCTGCAGGGGTGATTGCTATCAGGGCCACTTTTTCCCACATAGTGTCTTGGTATGGTCTCTACTCTTTTCAATCAGGGGCTGTTGGGCTGGGGGATGGACCTGCAAGGGGTGCTTCTTCTATTGGTTTTTTCTTTTTCTTGACCTTCAGATATCACTAGGGGTGTTGGAGGATTAGGATTCATGGTGGTGGGTATTAGACCAGATTGATTGAATATCGTAGAATTGATAAAGACGAAATAAGCCCGAAATAATGTTCGATGACGACAGGTGAACAGCTCTAACCCATAACTCCATAGCACCATAAATTCCCATCCCATTCAGTTCCTCAGCCGGCCCTGCGAGTCTCTCCCCCCGTTCAAGAAGCTGTTCAAGTATCCGATGCAGACGCTTATTCATGTCAGCCAGCGGTGCAGAGAAAATGGCAAAAAGGTACCATACCCAGAGCGAGTTGTATCCGCAAAGGTCTCATGGTCAGGCATGACATTTTTCCTGAACTCGGGATCATCCCAGACCTTCTTGAAATCCTCGACGTCCTTCATTACAAACTGAACAATATAGTCATGGTCGGAGAGCTTCTTTGACATCTGCAGGTATTCGGCATGCGGGCGTGCGGCACTAAAGTTATCGATCTGCAGCATCACTACAGTTAGCATGCATGCATTACAATCTCCCACCAAAAGCCACCCGGGGGTTAGATCCCAAACCCACCACATTGTATTCCAAGATACCGTATTTCTCCAAGAAAGGCGCAGCCTTCGGCGCATGTACTTTGCAGAGGTGGTGGTGGAGCTCCTCCTCCGTCAACCCGGGCTTGCGGTAGCCGTTGATGGTGATGACGATCAGACGCTGATTAGTCTCCGACATGGTGCTGGCTCAGCAAAAAAATCCTACATGAACGAGTTATGGATGGATGATATGTCGACCCAAGAATGCACGATCGGCTGGGGGAAGTTCGGGCCTTTTTATTTATGAGTTGGGGGACTTCCGTCCGCGCCCCCCTTGCGTCCCATGGGCGGCCAATGGAACTATCATGATCTGGAATCTTGCTGAAATGTTTAACTTCCCTTGTGTTTCGGTTTCGGGTTGCATTTATCGAGGGTTGACAATTGGTTGGTTGGAGCCAAGAGACATTGCGGTTGCATCGGCGCGACGCTTTCGGAAATAGGCTGCTGGCTTGCCATTCTCGCTTGCATCGGATGGCGAATATTTTTCTTGCTCGGTGAATAGGTAATCGAAGCTCCGGCTCGTAACTACTCGTGTGCTGGTAATGTCATTCATGATTTAGACAGATTGAGGCGAGTAGAGATGATGTGGCAAGGCGTTGCATGGATTTGCTGCTTGCAATGGTTTTCTGGGGTACTTCATGGTACCGTGTTTCGTTTCACTTCAGTTCTTCTCTTCTAAATTGATCCTCAGTGGTTTTTCCCTTTCAGAGTTTGATTTTCTTTTCAGTAGGCGTTGCATTTGCATGACATGCATAAATGTACTCAGCGAACGCGAAGTGGTCCGTTATGAAAGCCGCATTAGGAAATGTACATGCATTATGACATTCATTAGGGCTCAGGCCGAGAATGTCGGCTGCCCCTATGAATCGTCTGACTGAAGTCAATAAAGGCAAGTAACTGGTGTCGATATAGATACTTGCATTGCGCACCTATAGTAATATAGCTGAATCATCTTCTCCTCTGTTTAGCTTTCAATACACCTGGACTTAAGCATGTATTTGACACGGTGTAATTCCACGTAATATTAGAAAACTTTTATGGATCTTACTGTGGTATAGCTTCAAGATTCGCCTATAACAGCGGTATTAACTAGGTAGAGTGACTACTAGTACTTATGGGCAGTGAAATACGTTGTCTTCAATCAGGGAACTGCTAGTGTTGATACATCGACTGAAGCTTTGAACTATAGAATTCAGATTCACCTGACTAACTCTAAAGAGAAATTATACTGTTTATTAAGGAGATTTCTTATACTATACCTGACTATCCCAGTCACTGCATCTTTAGGAACTTGTTGTTAACTATTACGTACTATTAGAAGACTTAGACCTAGTAGAGACTTATTATCCGTTCAAGTATGTCATTCTATACATTCATCGACTATATACATCATTCGTATGTTTCGTAACCTCCTTCAATGCTCTAAACCAACCCCCAGGCTACCGTTGAAATCCCTGAAATCACCCCTCAGGGTCCCAATACCGTCGCGTCTGACTTCCTCCACTAAGTCCTTGACTTTAGGTGCGATGCTCTCCGGCGCAAATCCAAAGTGCTCGTACGCATCCTTTGAAGGAAGACTCTTTCCAAAGCTGTTCATCGACACTGAAGCATCAGCATAGCGCTCCCATCCGTAGGATGGGTACGCCTCGATCACGACCGTGGGTTTTCCAGCGCGGGGCTTCAGAACCGATTGCTTGTACTCCCGCGACTGCTGCTCAAAAAGCCTAGTACAAGGGAAGGAAACAACTCGTGACCTAACGCCGTGGTCCCTGAAAAGCAACTCCCGAGTCTGCATGGCAAAGCCCATCTCAGAGCCGACTCCGATCAAGGTCACATCGAAATCGTCGTCCTCAGCCTCGACGAAGACGTACGCGCCCTTGAGTGCACCCTCGCGTGAGGAGTATTGGGGGTACTGGGTCAGGCTCTGCCGGGAGAGTGAGATAATGGTGGGCGTGTCGGTGGCCTGGATGGCGGCGATGTAGGCGCCGGCCACTTCTTCAGCGTCACATGGACGGATATAGAGAACATTAGGCATGGCGCGGTAGAGGGCAGCAACAGCGATGGGTTGGTGCGTAGGTCCGTTCTCGCCAACGCCGATACTGTCGTGCGTGGCGATGTGGATCTGCTGGAGGCCTTGGAGCGCGGCCATGCGCACAGCGGCGGCAGCGTACAAGTGGAAGACAAAGTATGTGCTCGTCATGGGGATGAAAGTGCCTTTGTTGAAGGCAGCAAGCCCGTTGGAGATGGCGCACATGGCGTGCTCGCGGATACCGTAGTGGATGTATCGGCCGCTGTAGTTTCCGTTCAGGCCGCATGCTGTTCGGAGTTCAGGCTGGGTTTTACGTTAATCCCCTGCTTTCAGGCACAAAAAAGGGAATACTGAAAATGGCACACTCACCGATTGGAAGTCGACCTTGTTTTTGTATGCGACATTGACCGACGGAGTAAGATCCGCCGTGCCCACCAGGAATGAATTGATTCTCTGTCCAAGGGCGTTGGTCACGATGCCGGCTGACTTTCGGGAGGCTGTGGGCGCAGTAGGATGCTCTTCCTTGTGAGGAATGCATTTGGTCCAGTCTTCAGGCAGCTTTCCCGCGACACGGCGCTCAAATTCAGCCCCTAGTATGGGATCTTCCTCATGATACTTCACCAGGACCGCTTGCCAGCCCGCCTCGTGGGCTTCACCCCGGCCAGGAATGTCACTGAAAAAATCGTAGACGTCCTGGGGGATATGGAAGTGCTCGTTAGGGTTGAGACCAAATGACCTCTTGACGTTGGCCACTTCGTCGACTCCGAGGGCAGCTCCATGTACGTCGGCGGTGCCGGCCATTGCGGATCCGAAGCCAATCGTGGTGCGAATGTTGAGGAAGGTGGGCTTATCGCTCGACCGAGCGGCAACAAGGGCGTTTACGATGGCTGATGCGCGTTAGCAGAGCCTTTTATATAGATCACCAACCTAAAGAGTCTCTGAGACCTACCGGCAACGTCAGAGTCTCCATTGTACACGTCTACGACATTGAACCCAGTCGCCCGCATCTTGGTGTTGATATCCTCGGTGTTGGCAACGTCTGCAGTTCCGTCACATGTAACCGAGTTGTTGTCGAATATAACGCAGAGGTTGTTTAGCTTCCAGTGACCAGCGAGGGAGAGCGCCTCGAGACCAACGCCTTCCTGAAGGCAAGCGTCACCAACCATGCACCAAGTCATATTATTCACCAGCTCATGGCCGGGCTTGTTGTATGTCGCGGCAAGGTTTTTAGTGGCCATGGCAAGGCCAACAGCATTGGCAAGGCCCTGGCCAAGGGGCCCAGTTGTAACCTCGATGCCCTCGTTCTCAATTTCGGGATGGCCAGGGCAGACCGAGTCGAGCTTCGATGAGTGGTAGGACTTGAGCTGCTCAAGTGTCATGCTCCTGACGCCAACAAGGTGCATAAAAAGGTACTGCCACAGGCAGGCATGGCCTATCATGGTTCCAGTTCAGCTACATATCACCTGTTTCTGCGGGTGCACAGGACATACCATTCGAAAGAACAAAGCGGTCCCGGTTAAAGTAGTTGCAATTCTTTGGTGAGTACTTCATGACATACTTGTACAGGGCAATACCGATGGCAGCCATGCCCATGGGAGATCTGTGATGAGGCTTAGTTAGCGTACGCTGTGAGCAAGGAAATTCCTGAAGATGGTGTCGATTTACCCAGCGTGACCTTCGCCGTATTGCTGGCAGAGATCTGCAATGAAAGCTCGGAAGACATTCATCACCCGCTGATGCTTCTCTGGACTCTCTAATCTGAGATCAGCAGCAGCAGCAGCAGGAGCACCGTTGCGGATGGCTGAGACTGCCTTGACCGGCAGATTCTCGGCGGGCTCCTCGAGGAGTTCCAGTGTAGGTGCCATGATGTAAAGGTCAGGGCTGACTGTGAGACTGGAAATAGTTGTATTAGAATGGCTTTTGGTGTTACCAAGTTGTAGCTGGCTCGCAGAAGCATTCGAGCAGACTATCAATTCTTATATTCGACATCATCCCATGTCTGTCGCGTGCCCTAGAATCAATACATCGCGGCGATACTGAAATGTGGCTGTTCGAGGTCGAGGCGAAGCCATAGGTGATCCAACCCCAGCAGTGTCAATGGTAGAAACTCGAGCTTGTAGAGAGGCTATTTTGCACAAACTGATATTGCCGTAGGATGGACAAGGGGGATAATCCCTCGCATCGAGACATGGGCCCCGCATCGAGAGCCCACTATGCCGGTCCACTCCGGTTGCGCAGTGTGTCAATATATATTGGTGAAGGGATGAGCTGGTTGAATTTCTGCTCCTAGGTCTTGCGCCTCTTGAATCCGGCTTGATATCCTAATCCAGTAGTATCCCAATATCTTTGGTGGTTTGCATTCCCTTTTTCTATAGCTACAGAGCAGAACTTTAGAAAATCCCGCTCCCCTACTCCGGAGTTCAGTAGTGGCTCCCACCTGACCAGTAGAACTGCTCACTGCGCTCTCTGCCATATTGATTTGAGGGTTTGGTTGGTTGGTGGATTTAGTAGGTGGGCCAGTCCCACAGGCCTAGGCGTCTAGGACCTTCAGTATCTGGCTTCCTGATAAAGTCAAGAGAAAAACAGCTTCTTTTCGATTAAACGAGGATTATTTAGATAGCTGCAAGATGATTTCCCGGGCTACCGGGCTCATAACCTGTTGAGGGGACGAGCTGGTTGAATTACTCCTCTGTTGCTTGAGTTGCTTGAATCTATCGACATGACTGTGGGAAGAAATCGTTAGGAAGAAGTAGCGCTAGGCCTAACTAGGCCGCGCCAACAATATCCCATCCAAGGTATAGTGAACTATTCAAAAAGCCGAGTGAAAATGTAAGAAAGCCATCCTGTAACCTGTTTAACGTGAATAAGCATAACGTACGCCCTTCACCTTGCATTCATTTGTTATCACTTCGACCTACAGGTTTACTTCAGTGAAGCTGGCTTTTTGCGGCAATATGCAAGGATCCTAGTTGAAGTACAGGCAGTGAACGGGGTCGAGTCACTCATCTTTCCCATGGTTGGTATTTTGCTTGCCTCGCCTAAGAGTCCAGCTGATTGATGCAAGCTGCGCAGCTAACCAAATGCCTTTGCATTACGAATGAGTTAGACTGGTTTAGTGGCCATTACGGCTCATATTTCCCCACTAATGGGAAGTTGGGAACCCCAGAGCTTTGAAGTGGGTCAGGCCAAAGCGGGGGCAATTTAATGAACGCTGGGGAATATTTAGGAATATTTGGCAGGCCAGTCTTCGAGACGAAGCCACAGACAAATGTACCCTCAATGGAGGCTAATAGTAGTGCACAACGAAAATCAACAACTGAGGGCATCACCACCGGGACTAAGCGTCGCCGCATCCGACCGTCTCGGGCTCGCGGCTTGAGAACCAAGACAGGATGGTGAGTGAATACGCAGTTCAGTCAATTCAATTCCGAAGATCACATTCGCTTACACGCACGACAGTCTCACGTGCAGAGAGAGACGCGTGAAGTGCGACGATGGTAAGCCCACATGCATGCGGTGCTCCAAGTCAGATCGAATCTGTCGATATGCCCAGATCGCTGACCAGCGACATGGAACCGGAGCCGGAGCCAACTATGAGTCCCCAAGGGCGCAACTCGATTCAAGAGGGGAGAAGGCTCAGGAGCAACTGTCGAGCGCTAGTACAGCTCCATACTTTCATCAGCCTACCTACTCATCCCCTACCGAGCAACCCAACGGCTCGATTGAGACGTCGCAGAATGATCGTCTGAACGAGGCCAATGACCAGAGACTGCCCAGCATTGACTCGGGATTCTCAGCCTCTCCACTTTCACTTAGTCAGGTTTCCCTGCTCAACATCTCCCCGTTCGAGTGGTACGACCTGCTAGCACGGGATGCCATCAGCAACATTCAACGGCTGAACGATGCTTCAACGGGCGACCCACGATGGAAATTTCCCGAGATTGCCCTCTCTCGTAGACAGTCGCCAGCCCATGAATGTCCTGAGACCCACCTCGAACAATCCAGGAGGCACACTGAGCAGCAGCAGCTCGCTCTGGAACATCGAGATGACGGATTCGAAGCGCCTTCACTGAACCATTACCAGGTACCCGAACCTTGGAACACAACGAGTAGGATAGAATTATCGGCAATCGATCTCAGGTTCTTTCGATACTACATCGAAGTTGTTGGGCCAATACTAGACTTGTTTGATCCCGCTCGGCATTTCAGCAATGTTGTGCCCCATCTCGCACTACGAAATAGAGGGCTGCTGAAGTCGATACTTGCAGTTGGGGCTAAGCACATATCTCTCGGTCTCGTGCCCGGTGAAAATGTGCCAGGTGACCTTGCCGCTCCAGATCCAAGTGTTCCAACCCCGCTAGCAGCAGCGACTGGTCTGCCGTCTGAACTCGACCCTGCTCCGGCACACATGGCTACACAGTATTACTACGAAACGCTTCAATATCTATCACAGACACTACTCTATCCCTCCTATGCAGACTCCCGTGAGATACTGGCGACAGCCACTATGATTAGCACGTATGAGATGTTTGACACCGACAGCACGACGACCAGCGGTGACTGGGAGAAACACCTGCGCGGCTCGTTCTGGATACAACGTTCTCAGGACAACGACGGCGAGTCTGTAGACAGGTTGAGACAGGCCGTGTGGTGGGCATGGCTCCGGCAGGACATATGGGCGGCCTTCCGGGCAGGACGGCCAACGCTCACTTTCTGGCGTGCTCGAAAAGGGCTCGAGGAGCTTGACTCGGATGAGCTCGCAACACGGATAGTCTACATATGCGGCAAGTGCGTAGCCTATGCCGCTTCAGATGAGACGTCGCCAAATCAGGATCCAAGACACAGAATCGAGCAGGGTGACCGACTTCTCTGCGCGCTCGACGATTGGCACCGTGTCCTCCCCGCCTCTTACCAACCCGTCACCGTCGCCATGGACCCTGTCTCAGATACTACTGTGTTCCCGCCCATATGGATTCACCCCCTCAACCACGCAGGTGCTATGCAGATGTACAATTTTGCCAGAGCCATGGTGCTTCTTAACCAACCCACGATGGGCGGACTAAACGCCTACTGTCTCCGTGACAAGCAGCTTAGTGAATGTGTCAAGATGGTCTGTGGCATTGCCAACGCCTGTCAGGAACAAGAATCCGCAATGGCCTTTGTTAACGTACAGGCTTTGTTTGGAGGTAAGTGTCTTTCCTTGATTCGTTGCTGCCCTGGCTGACGAAACCTTAGTTGGCCAATTCGTTCGTTCGCCCGAGATGCGCGGCGAGTTGCTCCGTATTTTGGAAAAGATGCTGAAGATTAGCAAATTCCCGGCAAGGGGGCTTGTTTCTGAGCTCAAAAATGTGTGGCAGGAATGAGTTGTAGCAATGAAGTGTGCGAGCCGAGCCGGGATAATTCATTCCATGGGGAGCTATGTATACTAAAAGCATAGCCCATTCTACCACAGGCGTTCTATGTACTGAGAGTAGATAAAAGAAAAGAAAATCAGTATTATTCCAGTTGAACTCTTGAATCAACGTGTCTGCATCACCCGTGTATATCTTCCATCGTTATCATGAATTCAGTCCCTCACCAAGCTCCTACAATACCAGCAATTGGAATATCGATACCGGTTGTGTACGAAGCACCATCAGAGAGCAGGTACACATAAGCTCCGCCGAGCTCCTTGGGGTCGGCCAATCTCGGCATGCCGCCATAGTACTGCATTTTGAGGTCCCAGTCCGGTGCTTGATCCACAAAGTAGGTCATAGCGGTCTTTATAAAGCCCGGCGAGATTGAGTTGACGCGAATGCCATGCTTGGCCCACTCCATGGCTAGCGTATGTGTCATATTGCGCACGGCACCCTTGGTAGCTCCATAGGGAGCCGAGGGCGCCGCGCGGTTGGGGCGATAAGATGTCATGGAAGCCGTGAAGACGATAGATCCCTTGATTCCCAGATCGATGAACCGGCGGGCCACTGTAGTCGCGCAAAAGTAGGCGCCAAACACGTTGAGATTGAACAGTTGGTCCAGCTGGGCGCGGCTGAAGTCGAACGCCGGCTGGTGTTTTGTCATGCCGGCATTGGCGATGAAGCCGTGGATGGCTCCTCGTGCGGAGATGACAGCATCGATCGCGGAGCTGACGCTCTCCTCGGACGTGACATCGCAATGTACGTAGTGTAAGCGCTTCGTGTTGACTTTCTGCAGGGCGGCGAACTCCTCGCCAGGTTCGAATACGTCCAGGCTGAAGACGGCAGCAGCCTCGTTAGACAAACAGACCTCTGCTATGGCTAGACCAATGCCCCTGTTGGCACCGGTTATGGCGATGACCTTGTCCTTCAAAGTGATTCTCCAGTCATGATCTGGACCTGGCTGGGTGTCAAGGAAGGCGGGTGACACATCGGAGGTATCTTGGCCTGGTGTCACTGCGTTGCTGCCGTGGCCGTTGCTATTGGGGGCGTCGAGCATTTCCGGAGGCATTATTGAGGATCTCTTGTGTACTGTAAGGATTATGAAGGTTGAAATGATTGGGAAGTCCTTGGGTTGGAAGGCTCCCTTTTAAGTCTGCTATGGACTTCTATACGGCAAGACGACTCCGATGCCGCTTACATGCATATAGCAGTGGTTCGGTAGACTGGAATCGTGCAGCTCCATTGACGAATGGGGCAGTCTAAGGATGCATGCGCACGCATCTTGGAGGACTGCTAAGTAGGCCATGTTCGCTTTGAGAATAATACGACTGACCAAGGGCGCCAAGATGATCTAGGGCATGCACTAACGAGCGGGTCAGACTAAATGGTACATCGCATCGAGTCCACGCCGGGACATTGCTGGGAGCATGATTGACAACTCACACCCCTGTTATGTGGATATCCATGTGTCTATGGAACTTACATAGCAAACGGTACACGGGCAGAGTGTCACGTTTCCCCCCTTTCGGCTCCTCGAATTTCTGCCTCAGCACTTTCAGCCTTCAACCTTGCTTTCCCCACACTTCACTCCACGACCTCCACTGGATCCTTTTTCCTTGTCTGCACATCATGGTCAAGTTAGAGAGAGTAATCTGGCAGAGACGCAAGCCCCGAGGACGCGGGCTTCGTGCTACGACTGGTTGGTTAGTATCTCTCCCTTCCCCGGATACTTGACTATTTCGGGTATCTCACCTAGCCCTAGCCTCATCTGTAAACGCCGTCACGTTAAGTGCGATGAAGTAGGTGACCTTCCATGTATAAACAAATTGATCTGTCAGGAATGTATGTCTGACTTGACCAGGTTCATCCCCAATGCGGTCCCTGTGCAAAGGGACGGCGTCCTTGTGTCTACGCGCATTCGCATCGCCGTGACGTTGCTGCCCAGCCAGGAGTGTCCGAGTGCCCTCCAGACAAAGTGAGTGGGGACCAGAACGGTGGGAGTAACTCTAGTACTAGATCACTACAGGTCGTGGTGGACTCTCACCACCAAGGCCAACAGTCTATTCAACAAGAGAGCCCTCCCATGGAGCCACATCAAGCTCCCACGGGCGAGAATATGGTAACCCGCACTCACAAACCGCCTGATAGCTATGTACCGTCATCAGGCACAGAAGCAAGTGATATACCCTTGCGATGCTTGCAGCTTTTGGCAAAGAATGCCACCGATGCTGATGGCGGGTTTCTGCTGTCTCCGCCGCAGTTATCTCGCAACCGGGTCGACACTGGAGAGGGCTGGGAACTGTCTTCCAACCTGCGTCCTCACAAATTAAGAGATCAGCAGAACTTTCATGCTGCGGCCTTCAGTCCGGAGATTGGACAGCGCATTGTGCCACAATCACCTGACACTGAGTCCGTTGCAATCAAGGCGCCCTCGTCATGGACCTCAAGGTATCCAATTCCTCTTTCGGACGTAGAGCATTGTCTTTTCAAGCATTTTGTGCGCGTCTCAAGCAAATTGCTGGACTTTTATGACCCAGAAAAGCATTTTGCAACAACGGTTTCGCACATAGCGCTTCGGAATGTTGGTTTAATGAAAGCGTTACTGGCCCTTTCTGCGCGCCATCTCTCGCAGGGAAAAACCGAGAAAGAGAATGTTGTCCGCGGATCAATTGAAAAGGATGACATTCCGGGACGCGGGGAAGATATTATTGACCGCACTCTTGCGGCTAAATATTACTTAGAGACCCTTGATTATTTGAACAAAGAAATGCAGTACCCATCCCATGCGCGGAGCTTGGATCTGATTGCGACCGCCATCCTCATCAGCACCTACGAGATGATCGACGGCTCGAATCAGAATTGGGAAAGACATATAAAAGGTATATCATGGAGGCAACAACTCCAGGACAACAACGGAGAGTCAGGAGGACTCCGATCAGCCGTCTGGTGGGCTTGGCTTCAACAGGATATCTGGGCTGCGATGAGAAGACGACGTCGAGTCTTTAGTATCTGGAAACCTAAAAAGCCAGTGTCGACGCTCACAGCACAAGAGTTCGCAACTCGTGCCTTGTACTTGCTTTCCCAGTGTATCAACTATGCATCGAAAGAAGAAGAGGAAGCTTCAGGTTTAGAGCGCCGCGTGGACCGGGGAAATGAGCTGCTCTCCTTGCTCCAGGAATGGCATGAAGGATTACCGCCAGAATACAGCCATCTGCCTTCCGTATCCGATATTGAAATCTTTCCACCGATTTGGGTACATCCGCCATCTTATGCTGCGGCTCTGCAAATCTATAGTCTTGCCCTGATCCTCGTCATCTTGCACCGTCCATCCTCCGGCGGAACTGAAGACTATCGATTGTCACAGCATATGTTGGCAGTTGCTGTGAGGACAATTTGTGGAATTGCAAGGTCTATTGATAAAAACGATGAGGGAGCGAACATGACCTCGTTAAACTGTTTATTTGGGGGTAAGATAGCCCGAAACAACCATTTATCGCATAATGCTGAAATGTAATAGCGGGGATGTGTGTACACACTCCACACGAACGACTCGCGCTTTTGGACCTTCTTGGCTCATGCCAACGAAGGGTCCGCTGGCCCCTAGTCTCCCTCCAAAAAGAGCTTGAGCTGGAGTACTCAAAGGATGCTTTCAGTGGCCTGATGAGATGAATCAATTACACTGTTATTCGGTCGCATACGCCGAACATAGACTAGGCGCAAATACACCATCCAAATCTAGTTGGAAAGCTCTTGAGACCTTTCGGTCTGGAATCTCCCCGATCCATGCCAATATCACAGGCTACCAGTCCCCGCAATTCATTTCACGATCAAACCAACAGCAAAGATGGAGGCTCGTCTGCAAACTAACTTCCTGTGAGCCAAATAATCGCACTACAGGCTGTGAGTAGGAAGAGTGATACCCGCCGATTTGGGATACATACTCATTTAGCATCTCAATTAAGGAGCCTTACTCTCTCTCCTCATATCCCTTATAGGGCTCGCCATCTATATTCTCAAAGCTATGCTTCTTCATGTGCAACGTTGTTGTATTTCTCTTGGGCTGCGCCGTAGCGAATTCTCGCCCAATCAATCGATCAAGTTTCGAGTAATCGTCAGAGCCTAACTACTGGACCTGTTTTGCGACGCCCTGAACATCATCTTTACCACCTGGCCTCTGCGTTTAGTGTCTCCATCGGTCTTACCTACTCCCGCTGTCGCTCTACGAGGGACTCATATATATCGATGATCGAGATATCCATCCAATAGTCAACACACCAGCGTATCATCACTGAATGATACCCTCCCGTAGACGGCGCCGGAACCAGGTATGCAAGAACAAAAAGACAATCACGCCCACAGCCAGCATCGCAGAAATAACAGCAAACCCCATAATATACTTAGGACTATCATCTTCCGGGAAAAGATACTATTGCAAGTCTTAGATTAGCCTTGTGGCGCGAACGGGGGGTAAGGAGCTTAGCGGGATATGTACCGATCCGTAGATTTGTGCCAGATTACCCAGTGCATTCACCATAGCCAAAGCAACACCTCGGGCTTGCGGGTGCATTCCGGCAAAGGCAGAAGAGGCGTAGGCTAGCGTGCCTCCATTTGTGGCCCAAAGGCCTGCTGCCATGAAAACCAGGAGAATATATCGAGCTGTGAAGTTGTATATAGAACATACGACAATTGAACATATCAGGGAGACTGTTAGCCAGCTAGCAATGATTAAGCCGCGCCATGTGGGAACTTTGTCGCTATAGTAGGATGTGATACCGGTGGCGATGAATGCTACGCCGTAAATAGGAACAGTTAATAAGTTGACCTTCTTCGTGGATGCGTTTCCGAAAAGCCCCTCTACAAGGGTTGGGTAGAAGTAAGTCAGAGTGCTTGAACCAACGATGACCTGTGGGGAATGGTATGGTCAGTAATCGGAGTTTAAAGATGTGAGAGAGGAAAGGGGGTCGACGAACCATGTACCCAATGATGAACGCCCAGGTGCGCCAGTTTTGGCAAGCCACTTTGCAAGCATCCAAGCTACTCAGATGCTCGCTATCCTCGGTGGTGGTGGTCACATTCTCGGTGGACAGGCGTGCCACGGCGACCTGCTTCTCGCGCTCAGAGAAATGTCGCGAGGTCGCGGGAAAGTCAGGAAGGATGAAGAGAGAAATAATAGCGAACCCGACAGTGGCTGCACCTTCAATGATGAATAGCCACCGCCAACCACGAATACCATGAACGCCCTCAAGACCATCAACAATTCCGGCAGCGATTAGGCCACCAAAAGCACCCGATAGAACGGCCGCCGAGATGAACACCCCGAATCTCTTCGACTGTTCGGTTTGTTTGTACCATGATGAGAGGACAAGGAGCACACCGGGAGCAAAGCCAGCCTCGACACATCCAAGAATGACCCTAAGGACTACCAGGTGGGTGAAACTTTTTACAACAGCCATCACACAAGTCAATGCGCCCCAGAGAATCATAATTGATGGGAGGAAAATAGAGGGTCGTGACCTGCCTAGGGCAAGGCTGTGGAGAAAAGGCAGTTAGTGATCAGGATGTGAGACTGAGGGCTGAGTATCGGTGCTGGGATTTTCATACTTGCTAGGTACCTCGAACACTACATATCCAATGAAGAAGACTACCAAGGCAATCGAGTATTGGTTGGACGTCAAGCTGAGATCTACCTCCATACCAGAGATCTTTGCATTTCCGATACTGTACACAAACACATTAGCCTCTAACAGAGCATTCAGACTCTAGCTTTAACATGCCCACACTTACTTGGTTCTATCAAGGTAGGACAGGAGGTACATGATCCAAATGGTAGGTAGGAGGGTGAGGTCAATCTTCCTCACCAACGCCTTCTCTTCCTCGGAAGTGAACGATACTGCTTCAATAGCATTCACATGCTCAATCTCATGAGAGGAGATATCCTTAAGTTGGCCCTCAGCATCGGTTAGGTTCATTATGGCTTGTTGGGAGAGTTGGGGTTAGTGGACTAAGGAATAAAATGGTAGTTTGGATATTGACCTCCTTACGAGGTGTTTATGTTTCATCTCCCAACCCAAGATATACCAGACTAGGGCTTTTGGACTAAGAGCAATTTCGCCATTTAGCTCATCAGTCCGCCCGCCATGATCCGGATTCACTTTGTCCACCTCCACAACTTCTCCACAGTCTGGGCAACTTTATGCGATTATCGTGTGGGGGGCATCGTATCGAGGGCCAGTGGAGCCTCTCACCAGCGCCAATCATGCCAGCCGGCACATTTTGTTTTATATGACGAAGATACAGCACTTTTCAATGATGGTCATTTCCTGTCAGATGACGCTATCTCCGACGGAAACGGTAGTATTTACCGTCTTCATCCCAACCGTGCCAGGACGTTAGACCCGGGATTCGACCTCGTATCTCCCACAACCGACTTCACCTACTCCTCACAGAGAGGCTGACCGTCGGCCAAATCCCATAGATAGAGATTGAGGCAGTGGTAGCTATCGCGTAGCATATTCGATCATCATGATATTAGCTTTATGATTACAGAGAGGTCAGGAACAAAAACCGGAGATGAAGGGCACATATCGCACGATTATTTCCCACTGATGGAGCCGCCGCACAAAACTGGATCATCTAGGTACACCCCAGCAACTGATTCAATAAGCAACATATCCCAGGAGGTTCATGCATTCATTCTGTGTCATATCAGCTGCCATCCCAAGAATATTTGAGGGGATAAACATACCTGTGGTATACTTCGACACCGATGACTGATAATACAGACACCTTCAGGTATTCCAGCATGCTGAAGAAGATTAATTTCACCTCAATCGGTCCATCTTACCGCCTGTCCTACCCTTCTAACAGTGACGCTTGACATGTAAGATCTGTACATGGCAAAAGTATAGCGAGGGTGCAGTCCCAAAGAAGAATATCTTCTAGTTCCACTGCAAGGGTTGAATCTTCACTAGCTGGGAGACTTTTCAGACAATCCTTGAGAATATTCAGTAAGGCTCGACGCAAAGTACAAGGAGGGTGGGTTTCCCACCTCGATGACAAATTCATCGCAATCCAATTTTATAGTAAACCGGTACATTGTGAAGCGTCACGCGTGATTTCGAGGTATGAAGTTGAGATAGGTAGCAGGTGGTGATGCTGAATGGGAGGAAAGAGAAGGAGGAAGGAGGGGTTGGGGTTCATTTAAAGAGGAGGGCTCATTGTTGCCTGGAGGATGTGGTCACTGACATGAACGTGATCAATTTGACTAGAAAGATTCATTGCGGTATGCTAGACATTTTGTTCAGTACCGGCCATTCAAATATCCCCTGCAAAAGATTATAAGAGGAAAATTCAATCAATATGTCTCTAGATTCTTCAAGGCGGTTTCTAACATACAGCGAACCATATAGAATTATATAGGAGATCCTACAGGACAATCTCAATATGGGGCTTTCTTGAACCGGTCTACATGTGTATACAGGCTAGATGATATCCACATCGTCGAGATATGATGCTCATGGAAAACACAACTGGTCAATAAGTCATGGGGTCTATTATCCACCTTACAGTATAATATGGGTATAGTTCTAGTTAAGGAGAGATACCGACTATTTTGCTGAAGACTTCGCATATTTGTATTCCTATGTTCCCGAAAAATTGCATTATACCAGACAGCTATATCACTAGTTTGACTTTGCAAGAATACGGAAGCTTCGCCAGGAGACAAATTCATAGTAATCGGCTGAAAGAGTATACAATTAATCAGAACTCCGCATAACTATCTATAATCTCACATAGGTCAATCTGCAGAAGGGTTGTCTCTCTCAGCAGCACCAGCAGAAGAAGACGCACCCTCACCATCACATCCAGGGACCTCACGCGTACGGCTAAAGAAAGGACTCGACACATAAAACGGCCTCTCCCCAGACAACCCCTTATCCACACCCACAGAACCACCGGCAGGAATACCCCCCTCAAGAGCCAACATGCGTTCCCTCAACGCAGAGTTCTGCATCAACCTCCCCACAGGCTTCACATCGCCCTTATCCGCAAACCGAGCATCAGCTTCGCCCTCGAACACCTGCTCCGGGCCCGGAATCCACGTCCTCCCACTCTGCACACACCGATCCTGCATAGCCTCGGCACTTAGATTGATCATCTCTTCCCAGAACAGTCCTTCTCCGGATGGCAGCACGCCTGCTGTTTCTAACATCTGAATGGCCTTCGCTACCCAATCTTGGCAATTGCCAACCCCGAATTCGGGGATGTTGGCGTCATTCCGGCCGAAGTTTGATAGAAGACGAGCTGCGTGGTCCTTTTGTTGGACAGATGTGAAGTTGATGAGTTTGCATCGGCCCCGGAGTACAGGGTCGTTCTGTAGTGGCTGGGTGCGCGGGTCGTAGATGAAGTCTGTGTCGCTGGGGTTGCGGATGTGGTGCATTTCGCAAGTGCGGGCCCCGATCTCGTACACGGCGATGCCCATGTGTGACGGGCCATCGCCGAGCGTGGCATCGCCGCGGCCGTAGATGTTGACCGAGAGAGCATGAGTGGGAGTTGCCATGATGATATGGTATTTGATGTATTGGTTGTGGTGTGTGAAGAGCTGATATTATTCAAATTTGAAGGGGAGGGAGAAGGCTGAATGAATTTTCCTGAAAGCGGCTACATGCAGCTGAAACAGGTCCGGCTTGACAGTATTAGTAGTAGATGATTAAATAGGTAGCCTCCTGTGATAATATCCGGTTGCCTGGCATTGTACCAAAGAACTTGGGAGTTCGAAACAAAAAGGTATAAATATAGAAAGGCTAGCTTGATAACTTATGGAACAAAGCGAAGTAATGGTATTCATCACGCGCAACAAGCCTACAACGATTAATTCTGTAAAGTTCCATCCTGGATTCCACCTAGACAAAGAGCATTGACACAGACATTTTGATAACTTCCGACGTCAAGCAAATAGCTAGCGCAGTGTACCGAACTAATCAACAAGACACACGTCTTTATTCCGTGGCCACTTGGTTTGAGACTTGTCTATGGACATATTACAATACCTAATCCTAGGTAGTCGCCATGACACTATACCGGACAGATAGTCGCTCAGAATGTTTCTCCTAGCACTATATAATCCTGCCATTACCCATTGGATCAGTCGTTCAACAGAAACTCATTGAAAAAAAAGAATCAGGGCCTACAAGCACAAGCTAGTGAGAATTAAACTCAACCGCAAAATGTACGCCATCACCAAATATTGCAACTTCAGGTAAGAACAACAACCCTCAAGTCAGGATGTATATCGCTAATATCAGGTAGTATAATGTCCTCCCAGGCGCTTCAAGACAATAACGATACCCACGATGATTATGACTTGCGCTTGGGGTTTAAGTTAGTATTTATCCCTTTTTCCAATGACAACGCCCAAGACTCCAGTGGCGTTAGTAATGAAAACGGTGGTGAAGACAATTTTGATTCCAAGGACTTTGATAAGGCATTGAGCCAGGTGTTGAGACACCTTATACAAGCCATTCTAAGAAAGAGAGAGATGTAGTAGAGTCTAAATAAGCCGAACTCGGTACGATATCTAGGGTTCCAAGATTCAATGTATGAGGATTGTATGCGTGACCTGAGAATCGCAGGAGAGATTTGCTTGGAACCAAGGGCCGTGTGTGAAAGGGCGGAAGAATCGACTCAATGTTCTGTTTAATGCAGATTGTAGGTGTATGTCTTGCTCCTACTAGCAGAAATATGACTTTTCCATGATAGTTGATGCCTAAGGTAGACACCTTGATAGTAGCAGACATGCAGTGAATACATCATGTAATTCACTTCTGCCCCATCCCCAGTTATATCTAAATAACACCGTAATCCTCACATCTCGGTTTCCTGGACACATCACGAAATTTGTCTTTGGTGTGGGGCTAAATCTCTTGATCACTGCAACGACAGCGATACCCTGGAATCTTGGAAGAAGTAGGTACATATTGTTGTCTATCGCAGTGCGATTAGAACTCTAAAGACTCGTTTCCACCGTTGATTCACACCCTCTACAATCACACTGTCTCTGATCAAATCTCAGTCACTCTACAAGGGCTGAACAACCAAGTCTCACCCCACAAATCTCCCAGTTCTTCGATTTCAACGATCTCGGATTCAAGTAAGTAGGACGCTAAGTCTATACAGGCACTGCTAATATCAAAAGCATGGTTACCTGGATGAAAGAACAGGGCGATATCGATGTCCATTTCGGGTTCGATGCGAACATGGGATACTTTCTCATTGTCTACGATATGCGTCTCGCAGCCTATATCCCTGACAGGACTGAATTCGACGATGTCCGATATGCCGTATCAGCAGACGGTACTGGGGCCTATTTCACGGCTTATACTGGGACTCATAGACAGGGACGACGTGTCAGTGTTGAGACGATGAGGAAGCTTTGGAAGGCTTATGGAGTCTACGAGGAAGGTAACCGTGGGTTGGTAATGGCTGCTCTGCCTGATCTCGAAAATCCGCATGGGATTGAAGATCATATGGAATAAATTGAAAGAGACAAGTGGGCCGCGGGCTCTAATCTATCTGCCTGAAACTGCTGGAATATAAAGATGGGGAGGCTGCCTGTACATCTTGTGTTTCAAAAGTTTCAACTAGATTATGGATCCTTCTAGCCGCAAGGCAAGCTATGTTTCGATCACAGTCCGCATAGAATCTCAGGCGAGGCGGTCTCTGTTCATTTTCTAACGACGGATGCAGCCCGGACCTCAAATGTGTTCTCGCTATCTTGAAGCCATTCATCTAGCCCATCACAGGCCTTCTCCATCGCCGTTTTCAGGGTCTCGTCGCCGGCATCTGCACTATTCTCCCACTCAAAGCATCCACGGTCATTATTCCAAAAACGCATCGGTCCCTGAATGTCGTGAAGCTCTAACCGACCTTTTACTTTTCGGCCATGCTCCTCGGGCTGCATATCTGACTGCGCGTTGGGAATGATGAATACCTTTTCGAGACCACAGTACAAGAGCCAAGTCTCGGATATGCGTTCCTGGTCCAGAATTAGACCTTCAGACACGGCGATGCGTTTAAGGCCTAAGAGGTCATAGTTATAAATTTCGTCGTATTGAGCCAGTGAATGTAGCGTATAGTCCAAAAACCCTCCCCAGTAATCATACGGGATGTATAGTGTATCATGTTCTGGGTCAAATGGGCGTATAGCAATAGGGGTTTGCCCAGCTTTGTAGGAGTGTATCTTGAGACCTTGCCCTCGCATCCAGGCTAAGGTAATGCCACGGGCTTCAGAGCTGACAAAGAGGAGCGGCACCTCAACTTTGATAGGATTAGGGTCCAATAAATAGGGGCACCATTCGTAAAGTAAGTCAAGCCCCGCATCACTATTCATATAGTCCCTGCTGCCTTCTTTCAGGCGTTTAAGCTTCAAGCAGTCCGCCTGGTAGACGTATAAAGCTTGTCTAATTTTGTCAGGTAGAGCGTATCGCCATATTTGGTGGCGGAGCTCTGGGGGAAGGTTCGGGAAGAGAGTGAACGAAGCTGTAGCCATGGCTTTGCGATATCATTAGGGAGGGAGTTTATGGAGTTCTGTAGAGCAAGGAGCTTTGAAATCGATAAGATTTAGGAACCATGTGACTGCATTATAAAGAATAGCTCGCACGCTAGTACTATTATGCTCAACTGGAAGGGCCGCTAAGCCTTTTGGCATAGCCAGGATGCTGCAGTGTCAGCCTTACAATTCCCAATTTCTATGCATACCTGGCTTTAATGACGAACAAAGAAAATAGTCAACTATTCTATTCAGCTGCTAGAAGATGAAAGACAACAGCAATGTACCGTTATTTCGACTTGATCACTTCTGGAAGTTACCCATGGATTAAAGGCTATACCAGATAACGTCACCTGAAACAAAGAGAAACAGTCCTTCGCATCAACTGCTGGAAAATGGAAGAAAAGCATGTATATCCCGGCACTGTCGATCTAAACTTACAAGAATTTTGTATTACTTGGATCCACGAGACTTATACAACATTAGCAGGATGATGGCCATAGAGGAAATCATACGGAAAGGGGTGCCGGTCACATTAGTGGAGATACCCATTTACTAAGGGAGTTTTGTCTCATGACTCTGGGTTGCCTCTCAAGACTCGGAACATTCCACAAGGCACTCAGGACTTCTTCCATGTCATATATCCTCATAACAGGACTGGCTTCACTATGTATGACTGGGTAAAAGCTTGTGACCCTGCATGTACCACTGTCCGGAACTGCGACAGCCATTCACAGTATCATCGGATAACTTGTTTAAAAGTTGACCGGTCAGATTGGAAATGCAGCTGTTTCATAATTAAGTCTAGTATATTAGTGGAACTTCACTCTCGTATCAGACACAGAGATTTGATTGGCTGACGGTAGATACAGTCGGCCATCGTCCAAGATGACAGACAATCGTCAAAAGGAGGATTCAAATACTAGGAAGGCAGATATAGGCATTGTACTAAGCCGGGCCGAAATCCTGAGGCTCAGTAATGCCGGCCAGAAGAGCAAAGACAAGAGGGCGGCGCTTCATCCAAGTGTGCAGGCAATGGCCACAACTGGTGACTCTGCCGAGCAAAACAGGACAACAAAACAACACGAAAAGGAGGACAGCACGAAACAGCGTGAGGGAGAACAGAACTACACAACGCCTCCCTCAAAGGCAGTTAGAGAAGAGAAAAGGACGAGCTCTAGTAACGGTGCTGACCCATAGCCTTTATTGTTGAGCCGATTATAAATCTTGTTCAAATTCTTCAAGTCGGATGCCGTTATTCTTTTTTGTGTATCCGCGCTGGGATATGCTCATGATGTTGTTATCCTGCAACGCATCGTGCTTTGCACATCACTGAATGAACCACCAGTTGAACATGCTTATCAAGGTTTAAAATACTCCTGCAGGGCAAGAGACGGCAAGAGTATATTAGAAGGCCCCGTTGTCCCAAGCGGCACCCACAACATGTGAGGGTTTTATGCAGTCTGACAGTTATTACGGTAGTTTCTTCTCTTCTGATCTTTCGACTGACGCTGCTGGGTTCCATGACCTCGGCCAGGGTTAGCACAATACCTATACCTGCCTTCCTAGCCTTCGATCTTCCTTTCTATCATCAATTCTCAAGTCTTTAGATCATGGATGTGGGAGAGCGGAATGGGTGGATCCATTGTGATCCATGGCAGACACTTCGGCTTTTGGCAGCAGAACATTCAGGTACATTTTGTTGAGATCGTGAAATAAATATTTGTGGCTCTGCATCATCTTTCGTGGTATCCCAGATAGTTCAAAGGCATTCTTCCCCTTGTGTCTCCACCATATCCAATCAACAAGCAGCCAGTACTGGTATCACAATTCTGCCCTAGTGGCGAACATATCGCAATGAAACCATATAACCAACAGATGAGGGGCTATTATCGATCATAATTAACTATAGAAACAGGTCAGTCGCTAACTCAGTTGCTTACAACTGTAAGGATACGCACCTGTTATTAAGGAGAGTAGAAAACTCAGCTTTTCTTGTGGTAACTGAGTCGGTGGAGATATTCGCTTCTCTCTTTAGAGGGAGAGTATGTTAACTCTCTGCCAAAAGGTGTTCTCCTTTTTGGCATGAGGGGTCAGATGGTTTGGAAGGTGAAGTCATTGTCCGCTGTGGGAGAGGGGCTTTTTTAAATGTCTGAGACAAGGAACGCATATCTCTTGTACAACCCTAGGCTCCAGTTGCCCCTATGACTCAGCCTGCGAATCGGGTCCTTTTTTGTAAGCACACACACTCTCTCTCGTTATTCCGTCAGGCACCTTTGGCATAAAATGGCGGGGAATGGAAGAGTGAGTAGAAGAAGGGAGAAGAGAACGCCAGTGACCATGCTTTTGAACAAGAATACATTATGATATCTATCAAGCCATGCCAAGAATTCGCGAGTCCATGGCTGCACTTCCTTCAAAGCACTACTACCAACTAGAGATCTAACTGGAAGCTAAAGGGGCAAGCCCGACTCAGAAAACCATTTCTTCAACTGTTCAATACCTTCGTTGTCCTTATACACCCTCTCCTCCTTGCCATCGAGGACCTCCTTCAAAAAGCTCCTGAAGCTCCTCGGTTCAAAGTCTGGATACAGCTCCCTAGCATCCAAGTAACCCAGGTATTTAGCATACTTCGGCTGGTTATCACCCCGTATAGCTTTACTGAAAAAATACTGAAACAGGTTTAGTGCAATACGAGTGGGTATGCTTTCTGGTTCCTTCTCAAGCGTCTCTTTCAAGGCCACGATAGCCGTCTCAATTGTCTCTGCAGACATGTAGGTGCGGTCTATCTTTTCGCCGCTCACCTCTTCCATCATGTCGAAAATTTCGTTCTCAGTCAGCACGTCGGACCATGTGTAGACTGATTGGTTGAGGGTGCGGGGGTCGCCGATAATGCGCGCGACGAAGGGGCCTATGTCACGGAGGTCGGTGAGGAGGTTTGGGGCGTTGCCGCCTGCGTGGATGGTCGTGTTGGGCACAAACATGGAGGCGTAGTCTACGCGGCCGGATGGGACAGTTGGAAAGGAAATCTGGTGCCAGAATCCGACGTCGATGATAGTGTATGGGAGGTGGAGCTTGCGGATATGTTGGTATATCGCTTCTTTCTGTGAGGTTTCTGTTAGCCACGTTCCTGTAGGCCATTTCATTGAGTAACATAGGAAATGCACTTTTCCATTGCTGGTGGGCAATTCCGAGGCTCAACATGCATTCAATAGATGTAAATACCTCATCTCTCAGACGAAACACGCCGCCCGGTGGACAAACAGTGGTGAATGCGCACGGTACAAACCGTTTCACGCCGGCCTGCTTTGCAGCGGTGACTAAGTTCTCTTGAACATGCATGCTCAAGGCATCGATGGCACTAATCACCACATCGAAGTCACGGAGGATGTTGGCTAACTCATCCACCGGGCCGGTGATATCGGCGGCAATGATCTTCACATCTCGTTCGGCCACGGCCTTCACTTTCGGGGTTTCAGCTGACGAAGGGCGAACCAGCGCAGCGACTTCCTGGGGAGTGAAACGCTGTCAGCGGTAGCAATAGATATGGACCGACTTGACTGATAGTTTAACATACATAACCGCCGTGCTCAAGGAGCCCATTAAGGACGGAATTGCCGGTCTGGCCGGTGGCACCAAGGAGAAGCACGCGTTGGGACATATTGGACAAATGTTAATACGGAGTTGTACTGAGCTTGGATATTTCGATCAACTGAATTTCTTTGTTATTACCCCCATGACAACCAGATGGGTAGCCCTTTTTATAATCTCTATTTGGACATCAAGATGCATTTGTCAGTTGAATATCTGTTTTGGTAAGCAGATAACAAATCCAATAAAGGAATGAGACATGATATACTCCGGATAGTGTTTTGATATCGATCCGATTCGGATGACGGATATAAAGTTCCCGGGCTACGGAATACCTCTACCGAGATTTATCTGTGTAGTTTAAACCTGATGTTACTAAGCCGAATCGCGCAATCTCCGGATAGAGACATGAAGAGACGGCAGAAACCCCATTTAGAAAACAAGGGTTTGATAAGGGTACGCAGAGCTAGGTTGACGTAAATCAATACTAGCCACAAGGCAGGCACTGACACCGATTCTATGAGTCGATGATCAATTGTCGAGGTTAACGATGTGTTTGGTACTATATGACCAGCATATCAGGTCAAAATCAAATAATTATATTTATTAATTGAGGACACATATAGCCATTGCATTCAGTGACCTTCATCGATAACACACTCAACGACAACAAAGTCAATTATCATATGATGATATCCCAGTAAAAACAGTCAACAATATAACCCTAAATTAGCTATTATTTAGCTCCAGTTGGTAAATACTAGCTACGCGGTAGAAGAAGCACCATGCCTTAGGTATACTCCAACACGGGCCTAGTGGGCCCGCAAGAGAACACCATAACATGTTGGGACAAGATCATCTCAGTGGGGCATTCATTACCCGAAAAGGCATTTGTTCGATCCTCGACATCCTGAGTGGGTCAGTATACAAAAGTCTTTGGTGTGGATGTGAATTTGACCTAATATCCCATACTGACACAAAACTCGGTAGATTAGTGGTCCTCCAGTCTTAAGCACTGCCAGTCATAATAGTTCGGACAACCGTTCACATCAACCAGATACTCGGTGGTTGAGGTCAACGTGTCCCACTCGTTTACGGCTGCAAAGGCCTATAGAATGAATGGGGAGGGACTCGTCCTTGTCGAGAAATTTGGGACTGCCCTTCCGGCGATGAGAACAGTGACGTGACTCTGAGTTCAGTGCCCAGAAAGTTGATCACGATCCCATCAGGGTCCGTTAGGGGTGATCGACAGCTTAGTGTATGTGCCAAGGGACGGGTGCCGCGAATTAAATGTGAAAGGCTGGCAATAGCCATACAAGGAGATGGATTGTCGGACTTGGCCTTGCGTAAGTCACTTGTAAAGTACGGAGTAACTTCAAATTTCTTATGGTCCTTTCCTTTATGACGAGAATACTATACTCCAGAACCAGTTGAATTATATACAGCGATCAAGAAACGTAATGTGCACAAAAAATGCGTCTATAAAGCTGTCTATGAAGAAAGAAGAAAAAGGATCGGCCGCGTGCAAAGGATAGATAGGCCCTGTAAAGGCGAAGTCACTTCTCCATTCACCCTCGTTGCCGAATGGTACAGAGATCTGCTGAAAAGCGTGTATGAAGAGGTACAATTATGTTACGCCTCATGAAGCAAGACAATCGCTAAACGGTTGGCATGTGTCGGTTGTGCTGACTTGGTCACCGCCCACCGAAACGGCCTCGGGTAGCTTGGTAAATCCACTGCATTCGAGTATGATATCCCATCGACTGTCATGAGGCTTTCTGTGACCTAACGGTGATCATCCCAGTATCTGCTATTGAAGAAGCCTTGCGTTCTGGTCATGAGCGATTTGGAGAGTTTGTAGATAGACAGCCGACTCTATCATGATCGACACAAGCTAACAAGATTTTTCGCGCGTGGCACATTAACACCCGAAGTTTTGCCTTCAGCCTGTTCTCCTGGCACCATCCAATTGCTGATATGGCAGAGCCGTTTCTCCGACTCCCAGGTCCAAGCCAGACAAGACTTTGAGTAGTTATGGCAAATCTGGATACAACCCTCTGCTGTTAGAATATCATTGACGGTCATGGTTGACTCATCCAAGCCCCCAACGTGGTCCCAGTTCTTGCGGCCTGACTGGAGTATCGGCGAGTCGAGAGAAGGGGCACCATAAATATCCCACAAGTCGATCCAAAGAAGAACGTCATCTATATGCTGGAACCTCCGACCGACATTTATCATCTCTGACGGAGTTAAACTGTGAAAAGAAATGATCGGCGCGCACAAGCGGTCCTCTGTGACCCTTATGGCTCGGGGTGGACCCCCATTGAAAAATATGACATATCGTTCGTCGAGATAGATGCCTAATTTGAGCAAAGTTGTCGCGAGCAGTTTATCGCCCCACGTTTCTTCGAGGGATTCCAGATGGGCCGAGGTAACCACTTGATGGTGCGAGAAAAGCAAACGCATTGTGGCTTGGGAGAGAATCACGGAGGATCCTCCATGTGCAAAACGACCTTTGTAGTCACCCACCGCGTTGCCAACATAGAAGGGTATTTCAGGGTCAAGATGTTCTAGTAGTAGCTTCAGGGCAGGCTGCATGAGATACGTAT